TTCCTGTGGATATGATTTAACCTTCTTTAGCTTTAATTTAAACGTGCATATTGGTAATTGATGGTCTGTTCTACAATCAGCACCTGGCCTAGTTTTCACTATGGATATTTAACTTCTCTAATGATAAATCCAAAATATTTAATCGATCTGATTCCTGTACATACCATCAGGTGAAATCCATGTGGATAGCCTATGTTTATGTTTCTTATAAATGATATTTGGAATGAATAAATCATTCACTGTGCAGAATTCTATCCCCAGCTTCATTTCTGTCACCAAGCCTATATTTTCCTACTACTGATCTTTCTGGTTTTCAACTTTCACATTCTAATCACCCATTGTTATTTATGCATCTTGGTTATGTGTTTGATCGATTTCTAACTGCAACATTTGGTAGAAATCATCTATTTCCTCCACCTTGGCTCTGGTTGTTGGTGCATAAATTTCAATGATAATCGTATTAATATGTCTTACTTGTATGTATATGGATATTATCCTGTCACTCACAATTTTGTATTGCGAGATGGATCTAGAAATGGCCTTTTTATGTGTGAAAGCAACCCCATTTTTTCCTCACCTTTTCCCCTTCAGCATAGTATATCAAATGATCATCTGCTTCAAAATGTCCCATGCCAGTCCATCTCATTTCACTAATACCTAATATGTCAATATTTATGCGTTCCATTTCTTTCTTAACAATGTCCAATTTTCCTACATTAAGACTTCTCACATTCCACATTCTAATCATTAGTTTCTGCTTACAACTGTTCCTCCTCCTTTTTGCTTGTGATAGTTTATACTATGTTATGGAAGTTCCCTTCTCTTCCTATTTTGTTGAGTGTCTTAATCAGGAAGGGGTATTGGATTTTGTCAAATGCCTTTTATGCAGTTGCTAGGATCATGTGATTATCGTTAATTTGCTTTTAATGTGGTGAATTACATTGATTGTTTTTATGACTTGGACCATCCTTGCATGTTGTTGTTATGTGCCATCGAGTACCTGCAACTCATAGAGGCACTATGTACAATATCTTTGAACCCTGCACTATCCTGAGCCAGTCTCATGGACTCTGCCACCCCTAATCCCATTGCCTCAGTTAATGTGTCAATCCAGCTCATCTGGCGTCTTCCTGTCCTTTGCTGTCCCACCACCCTTCCAAGCATGATAGCCTTCTTCAAGGACTGGTGTCTCCTCAAGACATGCCCAAACTAAGTGAGGCAGAGCTTCAAAATCCAAGGAGAAACTTGGTTTTACTCTTTCCAAGACAAACCTTTTCTCCTGGAGATCCATGATACGTCCAATACTATCCTCCAGGACCATACATAACTCAAAGGCATCAATTCTTCGCCTGTCATCCTTAGTCATTGTTGAGCTCTCTGATTCGTGGCATGGCTTGGATCAGGTGCTTCTTCGTCTCTAGACTGACATCTTTGCTCTTTAGCAATTTGGAGATGGACAGCTGACTTCCCCAATGCAATTAGTCTTTTGGTTTCCTGACTGCTGGTTCCAAGAGTGTTGATTGTTGAGTCAAGCTAGCTGAAATTGTTAACAACCTCAACATCTTCTCCATCCATCATGGTGCTGCCAATTGGCCCAGTGGTGAAGAGCTTTGTCTTCTTGATGTTAAGTTTCAATCCATATTGAAGACTACAGTCCTTGACTTTTTGCAGCTAATGCTTCAGATCCTCCTCAGTTTCAGCAAGCAAGGTTGTGTTATCTGCTCTATGTAGGTTGTTGATGAGTCTTCCTCCAATCTTGATGCCACACTTCTCCTCATATAATCTAGCCTCCCAAATGATCTGTTCCACAGAAAAATTGAAAAGGTTTGGAGACAGAACACATTAATGATACACTCTCTTCCCAATTTTGAACCATGTAGTGTTTAATTGCTCTGTTCTGATGATTGCCTCCTGGTCCAAGTATAGGTTCTACATGAGCACAATCATGTGTTCTTGGATTTACACCTCAATTTCAAAATCTTCTCAAGAACAGATTGGTGGCCCTGAACACTAATAAACAAAGAGCAGATGAGCCATGGAAAGATATCAAGGAAGTATGTAGAAGTTATTACAAAGACAGAGGAGGAAGGGAAGACAGAGATGGATGTCAGAAGAGGTTCGAATATTGCATTACAGTGCCATGTTTTCATTGTCATTTGTTTCAGGAAAGTTTTTAATCACATTTTATATTTCTTCTTGTACCCAGTCATGTTCAAGCAAGGTGTTATTCAGCTTCCAAATGTACAGTGTTGGGGTTTTTTCCTCCTTTATTTTCTTGTTTTTATTTTCTAATTTTGTAGTCTTGTCTGAGAGGATGCTTTCTTTTATTTCTATGTTTTTTAATTTATTGATGCTTGCCTTGTGGCATAAGATGTGATCTCTTCTGGAGACCGTTCCATGCACATTGGAGAAGAAGGTATACTCTACTTTTTTGGTTGACATTAGCCTCTAAATATCTGTGAGATCAAGTTCGTTTATTGTGTGGTTTAATTCTTCTGCATCTTTGTTGCATTTCTTTCTGGTAGTTCTATCTTTTCTTGAGAGTGATGTATTGGAATCTCCTACTATTATAGTGGTGTCCACTTTCTTTTTCAGTTTTGTTAATGTTTTATATATTTTGCAGCTGTATCATTTGGTGCATTGATATTTATTATTGTTATGTCCTCTTGTTTTATTGACCCGTTAATAATTATTTAGTGACTTTCCTTGTCCTTTGTGATGGTTTTTAATTGAAATATATTTTATCAGGTATTAATATCACTACTCCTGCTTTTTTCTGGTTGCCGTTTTCTGGTATATTTTTCTCCACCCTTTTAAAAAAAATTTATTATCTTTTTTGTGTGTGCACTGTCAAATTGGATCTGACTGGTACAGGAGGAGATTGTCCCTCCTTCTTCAGCAGAGCATCTGGTGGACTTGAGCTGCTCACCTCTAGGAGTGCAGTGCAGCTTCTTGCCACTAAGCCACCAGAGCTCGCCAACCACCCTTTTATATTTAGTCTTTCTTTATCTTCACTTTTCAGGTGTGTCTCTTGTAGAGAGCATATTGATGGAGTCTGGTTTTTTATCTAATCTGCTACTCTTTTTCTCTTGAGTGGTACATTTAAACCATTTGCATTTAGTGTGATTATTGAGAGGCAAAGTTTTATTGCTATGATTTTTGTTTAGTTCTTTTTGGCATTGTTGCTACTTTGTTCCATTCTGCTTTCTGTGTCACCTGTGTAAGAAGGACATCTGTCATTGTTTCCTGCAATACTGGTCTTGTTTTTACATACTCACTCATGTTTTTCTCCATCATATTGATGGCATCTGAAACATTGGACCCCATATTTTGGATTGTGGTTTCTTATTTTTTCCAGAGCCTCTAATGCCTCGTTTATCTACATTGTTTTGGATTTTTTTTAAACTCTTCCTGGGTTTTGCTTGCAGCATCTTGTAATTCTTCAACTTTATCCTTCACCCATTGAGAATATTCAAACATTGTTCTTTTAAATTCTGTGTTAGAAAGTTTCTTTGACTTTCTGGCTTCAGGAAATCCATTGACACACTGCCACTTTTTGGAGGTGACATCTTGCTTTGGGCTTGTGTAGAGTGTGAAGTAGGCTCCTTCTTTTATGACATTGCTGTGGTAGTGTTTCATGCCTGAGGTGATAGCTGGTTCTTGATCTGAAGTCACTGCTCCAGAAGTAGGTTGGGCAGGCATGTATGTGCCAATGCACTTAGGGTGAGTACATGCACAGACACACACAGCGACAGGAGGTGGTGCATACACAGATGCGCTGGAGGGGGGGCTGTGGGAACTAAATAGAAAATCAAGAAGCCTTGATTTTCCCCTCGAGAACTGAGTCTGCCACCCCACTTGAGCTCCAGATGTATCACTCCCTCCTGCTTTAGGTGAAAGAGTCACACATGGTCCAGGGATCAGCAGTGATCCCCACTCCTCGTACCTGACTCAAAGTTCCACTGTACTGCTTGCTCCTGGTAGGTGGGTCCTGCCACAGCTAGCAGCTCCTCACTGCGGCCTGTTGCTCCCCACTGTGACTCCTAAACTAATTCTTTTAATCTGGACAAGTCTTATGTGACTTTTAATGTTATGTAAATTTACTCTCACTTTGAAAAAATGCAAACAATTCCTACTTGCAACAAATCTTCACAGTTCCCTTCACTTGCTACACATGTAGCTTTTAAATTACTGAAAAACTTTTACGCTTTTTCCTTTTCCTTCATTAATTTCTGTAGTGATTTGAATAAAAATTCACTATGCCACTTGATTTTTCATTCAACCATACATACACATACTGTCGTATGATGTTAATTACAATACACATAATATAACCACACACACTTCCCATTTTTCTTTTTTCCTTATCTTTTCTGCCCCTCCTGCCTTCTGAGCTCTATCCCTGAATAATTACTACCTTTTTGTTCTTGTATAGTTAAATTTTTTAAGGGATGAGTCCCTCCCTGGTATTATTGTTCACTTTATAGGCCTACTATTGTTTGGCTTCAAGCTGAACCATAGAGGTTAGTCCTGCTCCAGATTCAGCTGGTTCTAAAGGTTATGATCTTGAGAGTTCTGTCAATCTCCACCAGACCAGTAGGCCTGTTTGAGACTTTTAATACAGTAAAGTAAGACTAAATAAAAACTATATGTACTTGTTTCAGCTTACAAGTTCTTAAAGAGACAGTTGGGAAAGGATATTTTTCATTCCTGGAGGACTATTTAGTTTCTAACCTCTGCCTAACTAAATAACGATCCTCAACAATTCATTTATAGATCCCAAGAAGGTATAAGTGGAAGACTCTTTGTAGTCTGGGTCATTAGGAATTTGAAGTTGGGAGACTGCCAAATAATTCTGGCATTTTCCTTTCATCATCACCTATAGAGATCTTTAGGTGAGGAATAAAGCAGCTCCGTAACTCAAAATTTGAGGACCCATGCTTTTAGTTTCTTGTTCTAATAAAAGAGCAAACAATTCCCATACTAATTTTCTATTTTAGAATGCTTCAAAAAGGCTCTGCAGATAGTGAAAAAGATGGACGGCCCGAGTTTGCAGAAGTATTTGTTATTGTCTGGTTTGGTGCAGTTACTATCACCCTCAACTCAAAACTTCTTGGAGGAAATATGTGAGTATAATTAAATGTCTCTTTTTTTGCTTGTCAAGTGGCATATTTTAGGTTTTAGGGAAGCCAGGCTAGTCAAACATTATAAAAAAATCAAAAGGAAAGAAAGAACCAAACATCAAAATAAATGAAGGCCAAAGAGAAAGTTCTGTTAAGTCCACTAAACGGTTATGACCTAGTTGAATTAAATTATTGGAAGTCTTTTGATAAGCCTCAGTTATTTTCTACAGCCTCTAACATTTCAGGTAGATTTTTGTTGTTGTTGTTGTTATATGTAATTTTGGGGATAGATGGTCTGTAGCTTTCAACAACTCCTGAAATATATCTATAAACTGGAAATAATTAAGCACTACCATCTTAGAGGTTCAATGGGAAAGAGAGGAATTAAAGTGGATTTTTTTTTGCTATCCTAGATGACTCTAGAGAAAGATGGGTAATCTTCTATGCAATTTACAGCCTGTCAAAACCCACTGGAGGTTCAGCTATGTATGAGTTGATTCTGATTTGATAGCAATGAGTTATTTGTTTAAGATGGGAGTTAAAAAAATAATGGAGAAATAAAATTACTATATATGCTTAATAAAGAGATATACCCTTGTAAAATTAAAGTTAGGGTAATGAATGGCATGTGTCTAGGGGGAGAAATCAATCTATCATATATAGAAATTTATATAGTAAGCTCACTTTGAAAAATTATGATGAGTGGCTATATTTATGATATTTACAGATATGTGGTGGTTTAGATCTTTTTTTCAGAGCCTCTGCGTCCTGGGTTACTGTATACTTCCCTTGACGGTGGCAATGCTGATTTGTCGACTGGTCCTTTTGGCTGAACCAGGACTAGTAAACTTTATGATCCGACTTCTTGTGGTGATTTTGATGTTTGCCTGGTCAATTTTAGGTAAGAATGTACTTATCTCTACAATACTAAAACAGACAACAACCTATGTTAGAGATGAAGACCAGATGAGAAACAGTACAACTTCTAAATTATACAAGAATGATAGAATTAATATGTTATTCATATAACCCTCAGCTCTAAATAAGAGAATAGTCATTGATGGAGATGCTGTATATCTTATTTGAGTTGAATATCTGAATTTTTAAGATGTTAAGAGTCACATCATCCCTCACCTCCTTTAAATAATAGACAGAGATGGAGAAGAGGTTATGCTAGGCTTAACCTAAATCCTGTGAAATAGTAGGCAGAAGTGACTTGTGAAGTGACTGGCCTTTCCTGACATGAATCATAATAAAAATATAGCTAACATTTTAAAAGCAAAACAATTATTATCATCAAGTCAATTACAACTCTACATGTGTTAGAATAGAACTATGCTCCTTATGGTTTTCAGTGACTAAATTTTCAAAAGTAGAACATGAGGCCTTTCTTCTGAGATACTTTTAAGTGGACTCCAATTTCCAACCTCAGTTAGCAGTTAAGTGCTTGAATCACTTGCATTGCCCAGGGATTTGAGCTGACATTTACTGATTGCTTATTGTAGGCAGGGCATCGTTCTAAGTGGCTTATGTATGTTATCTCATTCAACCATCCCAACAATCCCAAAAGAGAAATACTATTAATAGTTCATCTTTATAAATAAGGATCAGTCACTGAGAAGTGAAGTAACCTGTCTTAGAGCACATAACAAGTAAGAGAATCAAGTTTCAAATTCAAGTATATCATTCATATATAAGAATTTATATAATACTGTATAGGATAGATTGTGTCACTATGTAGTGCTTTCCTCCTTCAGTTGAAAATTCTGTTAGTAATTAGAAATTGCCTATTGCAGTGGTTATGAATGATTATATATATGTAGTTAAGAACTTTATGCTTACTACTTTTTACATTCCTAAAATTTCCTTAAATCTAAAAGCTACCATAAACCAGAAATGTTCATTACATCCTGATTTAAAGTACAGTAATATCTCCTTATTCTGGAATATGGTTGAGTAATTTTTTAAAAGGTCTGAGAGACTCATAATTATGTTCTAAAGGCTATATATTATGCTTGAGTAAATTATCCATAGGAAACTTACCATCTTCACTTTTCCTCATTGTTGTTTGCCGTCAAGTTGCCTGTGACCCATAGCAACCCTATGTACAACAGCTCTGAATCCTGCCCTGCTCTTAGCCATTTTCACTAATTCCAACACACCAACTTCCATTGCCTCAGTTACCATATCAATCCATCTCATCCAGTGTCGTCCTCTTCTGTGCTGTCCCTCCACTCTTCCAAACATGATGTCCTTCTCCAAGGATCAGTCTCTCCTGGCCACATGCCCAAAGTATGTGAGACGGAGCTTCAAAATCCTAGCCTCCAAGGAGAAACTTAGTTTTACCCTCTCCAAGAAAGACCTATTCATTGTCTTAGCAGTACATGGTATGTTCAAGACTCTTCTCCAGCACCACAATTCAAAGATATCAATGCTGCTTCTGTTATCCTTATAAATTATCCAGCTCACTGAAGCTTAACAAGTAATTGCAAAGACTGTGGCCTGAATTAGGTGCACCTTAGTCTCTAGACTGACATCATTGCTTTTCAGCACTTTGGAGAGGTCACTGACAGCAGATTTTCCCAGTGAAATTCATCTATTTCCTGACTGCTGGTGTTAAGAGTTTTGATTGTGGAGCTGAACAAGCTGTAATTGTTAACAACCTCAATCTCTTCTGCGTCTATCATGGTGCTGCTGACTGATAATTTATCATACATGTAGTTCTAACTAGCTTAGTTATTTGATTTCTGTACTCCCCAAACTCAAACTCATTGTCAAAACCCGCTCCTACTTTATTTGGTTTCTGAGGCTATAAGTCACATAGTGGGAGATTGCCCATCTTTCTCCCTTGGAACAACCACTGGCATATTTGAACCACCAGAGTTGCCACCTATGAGTTTGCAGTGCAATTCTCTACAGACTATGCCATCAGAGTTCTTTTCCCATACCTTTGTTGATGGTGTTGTATACAGTTGAGCTGGAACCAACCCATAGCTAACCCTCTGATGGGTTTTCAGAGACAGTTAATTGCATGAGATTATCCACATTTCACCCACATAGCTGGTGGTAGATTTGAACCATGTACCTTTGGGTGGTGGGTGCAACTCCTTGCCACTAGGTCTTTAAGTGACATCTAAGAAACAGGAAGGAGACTGTTAAAGGCATTCGTTCTTTAATTCAGAAAATAATTATTAAGTACAGACTAGATATCAGGCTTTGTACTAGGCAATGGAAGATACATGATCTTTATCTTTAGAGTTCATTACAAAATTGAACACTGAGACACATAAACACTTAAAGGATAATAACATGTTCCAGGAGGAAGATGTAAATCTGTGCAGGGTAGGAACCCTAGAGAGCAGTTATACTTAGTGTGGCAGAATACCAGGTAGTTTATGAGGAAAGATTTCTTATAGAAATTATCTTTAATGAGTAAAAAGGTAAGTAGATATTTTCTGCATACATAGATATTTTCTGCATTTAAAAGAACTGATAATCTAAGTAGAACAATTACTCATAAAGTGTACCAATATGAGGTCATTTATCATGGCTTTCAATATAGCCTTATATATTTTTATAAGTCCATTAAGCATAAATCACTAACTTTTTTTCTACTAGTTTATTTACAAAATTCAAATACAAATTTGAGCAAATTCTTTCAATTTATCTCACCCCTCCACCCATCAAATTGTACAACCCAATAGTTAATCCCCCCTTCCCTCTGCACATCCACATCCCTCTGCTTCCAGACTCTCCCACCCCTCCTGGGTCCTTATACTCATTCTACAATAATGGTTTTATACAATATTTATCCTTATGTTACTGAGTACGTTCACTCAGCATACTGTTCTTCAGTCCCTCCCAAGTTACTAACTTTTAAAAAAGAAAAGCTAAAATATATTCTGTGTACAACTTAAGAGTGTAGAATTCCTTTTAGAAAGGTTTCTATCTAAAATGGTTAAAATTTTTCAAAATTTTAGTGCTTGAAATAAGAAGTCCAGAGCAGTCGGTCAAATTGCTAAAGAATGTCTTTCTCTCTGAGGATTAGAAATATAACTGAATATTTACAGTGGTTCTGTGCCACTAACTATGCCAAGCATGTTTAATTAGTAAATGTGAATTTTTGTGACAATATTATTGTACTAAATAATCCCTTTTTGTTTTGTTTAGCCTCTACAGCTTTTCTTGCTGATAGCCAGCCTCCAAACCGCAAAGCCCTTGCTGTATATCCTGTTTTTTTGTTCTATTTTGTCATAAGTTGGATGATTCTCACATTTACTCCACAGTAAACCAGAAAATGGAAATTAAAGACAAGTGAATTTAATTCTCATTGGAAGGATGAAATTCACCATGGAGCTTTGCATCTGGTCCTCTTTTGTTAAATTTTAGAGGTAATGGGGTAGATGAGAAGTTTAAAAAAGAGCCATATAACACCATGACCACTTACGTAAAGACCGGTTTTTAAAAGGCTGTCTTTTTATATGTTATTTCTTTAAAATACATATGCAAAGTATATAATGCTTCCTTGAGGCACAGTGGTGCCATTGTGGCCCTTTTGAGTGATAACTAATGACTTGGGAAACACACCCTTCAAGCTGAATAGTAATTGCATTTCTTGTTTTGAGAATTCCAGTAATTGTACTTAATGATACTGCCTTATGATTTTTAATATACTTTTTTTCGTGCACAGGAAGGTATGTTCTGTATCCATATACATTTATTTAGCTTAAAAAGACAATGATAAAGTGATAAAGATTAAGATAAGAGTTCTAGATAGGGGAGGAGAAAACATTTATTAACTACATTCAGAATTTAGTCATAAAAAATTCTGTACCTTTTGCTTTAAGTGAAGGACATCTAAAGTATCAGCCTGCTTGATCTTTTATATAATCACCATTTTGCTATATTTAACAGCGGTTCTTTGGCACACTAACTTTTTTTTATCTTGCTTCCAGGCTTTGAATATGCAAGGTATTAGCAGTCAGCAAGTAACTTTCCTTTGACTAAAGCCCTCAAAGAACTAGTACTTGAATTTAATACAACTCACCTTAACTCATTGCCATCAAGTCAGAACTACTTGTAGCTGACCATTTCTTTAGTTTCCAAGATTGTAAATCACATGAGAGGAGATTGCCCATCTTTCTTTTTTTGTTTTAAATAAATCACTTTATTTGACTGAAAGTTCACAAATCACACAATCATTCATAGGCTTTAATTGCTATTGATTGGTGCAATTAATTTATTCCAATGTCTAATCAAACCCTTATTGAAAATTGCCCATCTTTCTTCCTTGCAGCCACTGGTGCATTCTAGCCACCAGACAAGTAGCACAACTCCTTGGGAGCTCTGGTGGTGTAATTCATAGAGAACTGTGTGTGCACTTTCCTTATAAAACCACTGAAGGGTCAGCTATGAGTCAGTTGTAACCTGGCTGCAATGAAATTTGAGTTTGAGTTCTCCATAACGCAAAGTATCATTAATATACATATTCTCCTGTGGATAGAGTGAGATAATTTGGATACAGCATTACTTTAAGACACTCTTCTTGCTATTCCATGTGGCTTGGGATGCCAGATGCAGCCAGATGCTTACCAGTCTATGCCAGAAAACTTGGAAGACAGCTACCTGGCTGAAAAACTAGAAGAGATCCATTTGTTCCCATTCCCAAGAAAGGTGATCTAGCACATTAATATCACAGTAATATTTTAATAGAAAGTAGCGCTAAATCAGAAGTGCGCATTTAACAGTCTCACCATATAAAGATTTAGTGTTCTAATAGCTGATTAGCAGCACAACTAGATTTTTTTTCCCCCAAGTAGATTTTTTGAGCATGATGTACAATTAACTAGGTTTACATTTGCTGGCTTTTCATAGTGGGCTTAACAGTTTTTTCATTAAATTAGCTTTTTCTCTCCCTAAGTATTTATTTACGGGCATCTTATACTTATATCTTGGTTAAACTGGATATTTTTAGGTGTTTTTTTTCCTTAATGTTAAAATGGATATTTTTCTTGTTACTTTTTTTAACACTGAATGTTTTCTTTTTCCTTCCCTCTCCCTCTTTCTCCCCTTAGATAAACTTTTTTGGTTTGAGGAATAGCCAGTTTCTTTTCCTCCTTGGTTTTAGACTTTGTAAAATTAGTTTGCTTTCATTTGATAAGTACTTTTGTACTCTCAGCTAGTTATGAACACATAAGTAGGGTATTCAGGGATCAGAGGACCTGGGACAGGATGATTCTGAACTAAACAGAGCGCCTTTTAAGTAATATGAGTGGTTACCTTTTTAAAAAATTTTATATTGATTTGCATATAAAATTTGTATACATTATATTTCATACTTTCCTTCATTCCCATTGTGGTTTGTACAATCATTCCCATACAACATGCTTTTTATCTTTTTATTTCCCCTGCTTTTTATAAATTTCACATTAAAGGACTCAAAGTTTAAGAGTCAGGCAGAAAACAAATTATAACTATGTGGTTATTTATAAGTACAGGAATTTATTTTATATTTTTCTTTATAAAATTGGAATATTTATTAATTTTCCATTTAAAGACTACATAGTTAAGAGCATACCATTTTAACAACATAATTTCTTTATCCAGATTAACCAAATAAACAATGCTAGGGCAGCTGAGTCATAATGATATTTAATAACAAAGCACTGCAGAGTGGGTCTCCTCTGTCCAAGCCTTATCCAGAATACTTATTATTTATATTTATGAAGTTAAAATCAATGTTTCAGCCTTGTAAAGAAAATATTTTAAAGCTGGTCCTAATCTTAAAATTGACCCTGAATCTGTTTCCATAGTCTGGCAATTTTACCTTTTCTAACCAAAAATATCTCCCTTCCAAAATTGTTTCATGATCTATCTTAATGATGATAATATAAAATTAAATAAATAATCATGTACTGGTCATGGTTTTCTCAAAAGGGAATTAAATCTATACTGAATTTTACTCAGGCTATATATTTGATCATATAGTCTAAAGTAATGTTGATGGGTGTGTGTACACATGTATTTCATACTTACTAGTAGCTTCGCCCCCCCCTCAATGTGCAGCCCCAGTCAGTGCATGTGTAATGGGGCTGGGCATGGTTCATGACTGCTGTTTACTATGACATGGGTACACTTTTAAAGGCCCACAAAAAAGAGCCTACCATAAATTCATTACCATACTCTGGCAGCTTTTTAAAGATGTATTAATCTTGGCTTCTTTAGGAAATTAGTTCTATTATATTTAAATGAAGGATAAAATAAATTTTTAATTATCTTTTTTCTGAAAATGAGTGGTCAGTATGAGGAATTTAGTATTTTCTAAATATGTGCACAAAATATGTTGCTTTCTATGACAGAAGTTAAGAAAGTTAAGGAAGTTGTAAACCTCAACACAGTTTCTTAGGATTTGCTGTAAAGGCACATGGCTAATTTTAGAAGTGAGGACTCATGTCTGATTACAGAAATTTGCCCTAAAGTGACGAAAGACTGACAAAAGAAACTGGTAACTCCTTGATGATAACATAGAAATTCTACTAAGGAGTTACTTCTGGAGTTAGCACAAGTGTCATAGTTTGTAGAGAATTAATAACCCAAAGGGAGAATTTCTCTGGCAGTTTGAATTCACTATCAGTTCTGCAGGAGAAAGATGGACAACCTCTTCCCATGCAGTTTATAGCCTGTTGAAACTCACTGGTAGGTCAGCTGTGACTTGTTTCTACCTTGATGATAATGATTTTGAGATAAAACTTAAGTGATAACAGGGCCAGGCACAACAGATTTTTTTATAGCACTTGCAAGCAAAGATGGCTCAGTGCTAGGGCCAGAAACTTCCAAGGCCCCCTAGCAAATGTTATAATAATTCATAAATGATTTAGCAAGTGGAAGTGAGCTATTAATAGCAGCAAGCAAGAAAATAGATACATATTCAGTCTTGCAAAAAGCCAGTTCTTACCATCAGTAGCCAAGCCTCCTTCTCCCCTTCTTCAAGTTCTCTGAGGATCCTGAGGGGAGGCATCACAACTAGGTAGATAAGAACAAACAGGTATTGCTGCAGCTGGAGGCACAGACTGCAGCAACGAGTGCATCATAATAATCCTATACCCAGAAAATTGTTATTGTTAGGTATTACTATGACTGATAGCTGCCCAGTGATCAAGAGATCTGAACCTTGCCCTATTGTGTGCCATCCTCACAATCTGATATGCTGGAACCCATTGTTACCGTCACTGTGTCAATTCATCTTTTTGAGGGTTTCCCTTTCTTTCTCCGACCCTCTCTTTTCCCAGCATGATATCCCTTTCCAAGGAGTGGCCCCTCCTGACAATGTGCCTAAAGTATGTGAGAAGAATTATCATCCTTCATGCCTCTAGTGTTGCATGCCTTGGTTGCAGTTCTTCTAAGACAGACTTGTTTGGTCTTTTGGCAGTTTATAAGATTTTTAGTACTATTCTCAAACATCACAATTCAAAGATATCATTTCCTCTTCTGTCATACTTATTGTCCAACTTTCAGATGCATAGGAAACAATTGAAAATACCATGGCCTAGAGGGTCACCTAAGACCTCAGTTCTGGCATATGGGCTAAAGCTACCACTAAGGGAGGTCTGGTGGCTTAGTGGGATGGAATTGCACTACCCACCCAAAGGTATGCAGTTCAAATCCAGCAGCTGCTCTGTGGAGAAAGTGATTTACTGCCTCTGGAGGTTCAGCTATGGGATTCTGACTCAATGATACATAACAACAAAGGGGGAAAAGGAAAACTCAAATTCAAGTCAACTGATAATAGCAATCTTCCATCAGGTTTCCAAGCCTATAAATCTCCATGGTAGGAAACTGCTCATCTTCTCCTTGAGCTCTGCTGGTGTATTTGAACTGTCAGACATGTTCAGCCTTTTTGTTAGCAACACAATGTGCTACAGACTATGCAGTGGGTGCCAAATTTATTAACCTCAAAGCCTCAGGCAGCAGTCTGACCCAACACTATCAGAGAAGTTTTCCCCAGTAGTCTACCTGATAGTCCATCACTGGCTGTGTTCATTGATACGTGTTTAGGATCATGGGACGTATATCTTAGATATTGGGATGAACACACAGGGTAATTTTGTGCAGCAGTCACTAAATTACAATACTTCACTGCTGTGCCTGTCTTTTTGGCTATTTTCCAACCAACACAGGTACTATGGCATCTACTTTTCTGGTGAATCAAATAGGCTGCTTCCCTCATGCAGTCCTGAACTAATTTCATATCAAATGGTATCATAAAGGATCCAGTATGCCCTGACACCAT